ATCTTTAATTTTATTTATTAAAACATGTACACATTATAACTAATTTGGGTGGGAATTGCCAAGCCAATTTATAAAATTATAAACAAATATTTTCGTAAATAACACTGACCGTGAAATGCGCCCTTGAGAAATGTTACTGACGGAATATTTTATATTGCAATTTCTTCAATTTTAATTAGTTGTATTGCAATGCATTAGTAATAATGTAAATATATATATATTTCTTTATTTCATTATTGAGACTGAGTTATATATTTGTTACGTACTATAATTTATCTATATTGGAAAACGGTTATGGGGATTATTATTTTAATAAACAATATTCAACTATCCGTTGCAACACCAATAAGATCACAATGATAATGTAACGTAAGCATGGGTTTTATTTTGGAACTCCTGCCAGAGCAACTGTACAAACCATAAAGGCAAATTAATAGCTTTTAAGGACGGTATTCCCAGAATAGCGCAAGTTGTTAAAGAAACATAAAACTTTAGTTCTCAACAACGATGAAAGGACCAGTTACTGTGACAAAGCCCTACTCCCCGCAAGACCCACCCAATACGAAACCCACTTTACGCGAAAGCCACTTACCGCGAAGCTACTAGTGATTTATTAAAATATGCATTTTGACCATAAACACACCTCTGTCACTTACATAAGTATATTAAATCGGAAAAATATTACCGATATTTATACCAATCTAGGCCAGAAATAAGATCGATACTTATACTTATACACGTCCCCATTAGGCAAGTTCTATGTATTGCACCCCCCCCCCCCCGCACATTAACCTCACTGTAGAATGAGCCTTACTTGTTTTTTTAGACCTAAAAGGGAACTGTTGCTTTTCCCTCTAAATTCATACTAACTACATCTTGACCTGATGATCGAGTCTTGTGTTTTCTCCTCCTATAAATTGTCAATTACAATTATGTTATGTTTTATGGCTTTTAAATTTATAAAACTCAAAAATAATTTTAATTATTTAAATACATCCGTTCCCCTCCCATCAAACTGTTCATTCTGAATTATGGCAAAATATTGTACTGCAATAATGTATAATGAACAATTTGATTTTGTCCATATAGCACGCTGACTGTAGACATTGGGCATTGGATTCTAATTTGCGAGATTGCACTTGAATGGAACTTGGTTTGCATGCTGCAACACAAAAACGCGTAATATGGATGGGTTCCAAATAGATAGTCGTTTCTACAGACGTACAGTGTGTAGGGTTATTATAATTGAAAAAAATAGTTATATATTTTTTTCTAAAATTATAAGAAATACAAAATGAATTATTTTATCTCCATATATTTCTCGGAATCTCCCACAGCTATCCCACGGATGAACCACTATACATAACGTTCCCAATTTCCCCTCTTAAGTAGTAGGGTATACTTTTGATGGTTTTGTACTTGGAATGGATTATTTTTGCAAATACTTGTCCTTATTCAGAGGCTTTTACAAAAGGCCACGTTTGAACACGGTGACACATGTTCCAATTCAAGTTTCCCAATGTGGGCGTTGTTCAGTCTGTCTATACGTGCACATACATCATTCAGCGAATTAAGTAATTGTATTTTGAACTGAAGGAAGGTTGTGTGATTAATATCTTGTTTTGCTGCCCAAATGACATCTTGATTGGATGGATACTTCTATGGCTTATTCTCTGGTTTAAATCTTAATGACTTCCTGGTTTGAAGGACATTTGGGCCATTAATATTTTAATTTAGAAGACACTTGTATGATCGAAACCCCTGACTTGACATTGTAGTACTATTAAATTGTCATTGAATCGTGAGCTGGATAGTTTTCAATTTGACACGCCTAAACTAGTTTTTTTCGGTAAGACCTGAAGGGAAAAGACTGCAATCTAAGTTTAAATCCATCTTATAAAAGTTTGAACTGGATAACATAACCTACAAATGAGATTAGTGACTGGAGGGAATATTTATTTGAACTATTAACGTTCTTTTAAAAATAAAAATAAATGAATTTACGAAAAATTAGTCAATGTATTTTTAAGACATGGATCAGTGAGGTGTTTTATGGCGCATTATTGTGCTGCGATTTCCGAGGGGATAAAACGTTCATTTGTTTTATTTTCACATCACAATTTGCAGCATGTTTCAAGCAGTTTTATCTTAAATCTTTTTAAGGCTCAAACAGTTTGCATCACATTTTATACTATACGTACTTATGTGATCCATTGCTCAGGCTGTACGCTTATTCCTATTATACAACTATTTACCTCGCTTCTAATGTTCTATACCTTTTATCCCAATAACTAATACTTTTCTTCAAAATCGTCAGTTTCTTCCTTTAATGGAAAGTGTCAAAGTTGAATAGTTTCTTCGCGGAAAACTACCCTGCTCTACTAGTTAATCAGATAGTTTGTTCGTCCTTGACAAAATAATAGTGCAACTTTCTCCTCCCTTTTTAAAAGACACGTTGGGGATATTTGAATTTCATTTTCGCCTTGTATATCCACGATCTTAGAGAAATATCTACCTGCGTCTTTCCATGACCATTCGTAGCATAACTTTATCAGTCTGATACAAACTAATAATTTTAAAATATAACCACAACTCATTTGTTTTGTGTGCATTTTAAACACAGTTAATCGTGGATTGTACAGATGTAGAATTTTGATTAACATATCAGATGCATTGCAGATAAAGTGTAACAAAAGGTTTAATAAAAGAAACTGGACTAAAGGTGTAACTGATGTCAGATAACTATATATAGTCCTGATAATTCAGTAATATGCTAATGCATAACTATATTATCACAAGCTCTATTGCTGTAATAAAGACATTGAACAAGACGACCATTGGATGTGGGTCCATAGCTATTCTTGTGTCGGTCTTTAGTCCTTGTGATGGTATTTTAGTCATTTCTGATATATGCTAATTGGTGATTATTATGCACAAATATTTACCCCAAAACAATTGATCTCTGCATAGTCCTTGAGTATTTATGTACCAAGTTTCATTGAAATGTAATTACTACTTTAAATATCAAAAGCTGAAAATTAATTAATTATGCAAATTAGTTAATTAATTAATATGTACTGATATCATAAGGTCTGTACAGTGTCCTATGACATGTATGCACCAAGTTACATTGAAATGTGATTACCAGTGGAAAAGCCGAAAATTGACTCATCATTATGCATGAACCCATAATGTCTGAACCAAGTTAGAACTAATTCCATCCATACACGACCGAGATCAAGTTCTGGAATGCCAGAAATGCTTGATTTTTGATGATTTTTTAGCACAAAAATGGCCACCATTCAACCATTTTGAATAGAATCGTCAAACCAACATATCTGTACATCTATAACATGATCTATAATGAATATTTAAATTTTGAACACATAATCAGTCAAAGCAAGTCAGAGACATTCATTAAAACAAAATGGCCGATTTTTTTAATCTTATCTGAAAAACAAATTCTAAATGACATGCTTGATTTTTATTTTTTCAGTACAAAAATGGCTGCCATTCAAACATCTTGAATCAGATCGTGGAACAAATTGGTGTGCATATGTATAATATGTAATTGTGTTTGAATGCAATTGGTTCAGGCATGTTTAAGATACAAGTCCGCCCACACGCACGCACGCACGCACAGACATACAGAAGTCAATCCATATGTTCCTGTTTTTGGACTGCGTCTGAACAGGGACTAATTATATATGGTCATGCAACCTCAATAAGTGTAAACTAGAAAACTATGGAAGACAGAAATGTATAACCAATGCTATAATAGTCATTACTTAAGAGTGGGGACTTGTACATAGATGCTTTGATTACTTCACAAATGTGATTAGGTTTAGAGTTAAAATCACTATTTATTACCAAAATTCACATAATTCAAATTAAATTTGGAAGGGAGCATTGGTGATCTGAAATAAACCAGACAGCAAACCAGGAATGTACGAAATCAAAATTATTCCTTTTGCTTTAATAGGTGTTTTATTAGCATTATAAAACTTCAATACTGTGAATCATATTGCAGAGCTATTAGTTGCCAGTCTTAAGTTTGGAAGGCTAATTTTATATGCACCCAAGCTTTCTTTAACTTTTCTTTATATCAGCCAAGTCATAGAGTAGTAACCCTAATTGACTAAGCAAAGCAAGTGGATTGATAATGCAAAAAGTGGTCCATGATACATAAATCAGGTGTGCCATGTACATCCAGGTATCTCCTGATCTTCAAAACTATTGTCCATCCACAAAGTTCACACATGTGGTAAACACAATTGGGATTGTAGAACATCCTAAAAAAGTACAACACAGATAACCTATGTGTACTTTAACATTAATCTGTACAGTTTTGATTAAAATCCTATCCTGTTGCAGTTCATACTCGTAAACCTTTTCATACTAGTTGACTAACTTTTAGTAAACCCATATTTGTCTTTATGCAGATTGTAAGACACTACATTTGTATTCACGTGATTCTCACACAAAGCCAAAGGAAAATTTTGAAGTTTTAGTTTTGTGAGATTATTTCAATACCTAAACAAAAAGATCTACATTTAGTAACTAAATGGATTAAAGTAGCATCTTATCTATTTCTAACATTTACTGTTCAACAAACATTTCACCATAAAAAGACACATTTCACCCGTATGCAAATTGCCTGAATAAATGTTTGAAGCATAGGTGGCCTGAGTGACTAGGACATGCTGCCCTTTTTTGACACCTAACCACTAATCTAAGTCTGAAGTAACTGGTAAACTTGCATTGTTTTTATGTAAATTGAGCACATATTGCAATTTGACCAAGGTGTAATGTTAAGTTAACCATTCAAAAGTTACCACAGTACATGTAGGTACCGTACCATTTGTTCCAGCTATTTCATTCAATAGCATATCAAATTTAAGATTTTAAATTATTAATGAGCAAATGGAAAAACATTCAGTGGGCTAATTTTTCTATGTAAACTAAGTGCTTAGCTCTAAAAAAATCAAAACCATGACACATTTCATGAGAAACGTTTTATTTCTGAATTCAAAGCCCTTCCCTTTTTTTTTTCCCTAAAGATTTTGAGTTTTAAAATACTGGGGATCCATGTAAAGTTTGAGATCGGCATTCATAAACATAATTCTCCAAATCACAATGTTACTAGAAGTGTAAGCACAGGTAAGATCACGCAAAAAGTTGATTGATCAGCGTTCCTAAATTTTCCATCCAATAAATATTTGGTTCAATCCATTATCTTCTGTTCACTTCATTAGAGTCTGGAAAAACAATATATTCGTTTAAAATTCACAATACACACTGTTGTTCTTCCTCATAAAACTGAATTAGTAGGCGGATGAACTAATAACTGCTATATGACTAGACTTGCATACAGTCTCTTGTTTATTTTTTGGGCAAAAGCCGCAAATTAAACAAGGGACTTGTTACCCTTGATGATGCCCTCTCGCGACACTAGTGATGATTGTCACTGTTCTTGGTTTAGTGAGTGACGCAATTATTTACAAGGTCATTAATATTCTACCAATCAGCATGCAATTGGAATATCGTCTCAATTAGAAACCGCTTTGAAACTGAAATTTTGCAAGCTAGCATCTCACATTATTCTTTGAGATTTTTTTTTCATGATGGCTGCAAGACTACTAAGATAATGGGCTATAAATCGTTCGTCCTTCATGCTTGCACTTCTGCATGGTCACGATGTTTGTGCAAGTGTTTTGTCAGGCAAGCATCTTTTGGCCAGCTTTGAAAAGCTTTCTAGGGCTGACTAATTTTTTGTTATCTTTGACCAAACATGCAATAAAAATGTATTCCCGAGTTCTCAGTGATACAATAGTTGGCAAGCTTGTTTTTTTGTTAGTGTTCTAGTTATTCACGGCCATCCAAAAAGAATATACACTTATATGTATACATGCTCCGCCCATCAACTTTGTGATGTCATCAAAGAATCACAAGTCTCTTGTTTATTTTGCAGTAACCTGACTTTTGCTATTTATACATTCCCATATTTTATTTCATTGAAAAAAATCACAAAAAAATAAATAAGACACTGTATGGAAGTCTACTATATGACCTTAAAAAGCAATTAAAGTTTGTTAATTTAAATAAAGAATTAGTGAATTTTACAAAATACATATGATTTTGAGAAGGATAAAGAACAGTACAGTGCAATCACATAACATCACACGGGACAATATTATCATCATCATACCCAGGTATTCAGTTGTATCATACTTCAGGTTCTCTTTTGTTTTTTTATATACCGGTACATCACATGCAGTTATTCAAGCCCGATATGGCAGCATGTAATGACCATAACTTACTACCGTATCTACATACAGCTCAAATAAGATAACCCCAAAATTGTGTTGTTAATTTAGCTTACCACCATGTCAACACATACTATCATTTTAGTACTCTTCTAAAATAGTTTTTAATTTGTTGTACACATTCATATTTGATCAAACTCCCTATTTGCAAGGACAGTAATAACAAATCTGTCCATTTAACACACATCACAATGTACAACAGCAAATTTATTCAAACTGAAAGTAGTTGGCAATAAAAAAACCTTACTCCAATTCTGCACATTTAGTTATTTAAACAATACTCACTTTTTCACAATTTGTATCACATCTTCATCATCAAGCAAATGTTCCTTTCCAACTTTTTGCGGAGTGTGTTTAACCGAGGAACCCCACACTAACGCATATTTGAATTCCTTCATGATAGCTTTATGTAGATTCGTACAAAAATCTTCCACTGATGACTGACCACATTTCAGTACAACCGGCGCCTCATAGTCTGGCAGTTGACCCTTAGGTTTTGTATATCTGAGAATAAACACAAACTGAGCTGTATAGAATTCATAGACATTAAAGTAAGTAAACATGGGCATGCAACTGTATTTTCTATAGAGGTGCATTCTGGGAAAGTTCATACATGTTATTGGGGAGTTATGTAAAATATTTCATGGTCTGTGGGAAATATACAATAGTTGTTCAAATGTCAATGCCTTTTATTTGCCATTTGTTTGTGGGTTCAAATATTCTTTGCTACCATATTTTAGTACTGTAAATGGCTTATTTTCACAGCTTCAACTCAGTGAAAATAAGGTGCTTAATCGTATTTGCAATGATTCATAAAGGTTCATTTCTGTTCCCAAAGACATGCATACTACAGTTATTTGTAACAAGGTAGAATTATGGCAAATTCTTGTTTTTCCTGGAATACACACATTTTTAGACCATCAAATATTTCTCATAAAAGTCCTGACACCCTAATAAAGCTCCAAGAATGTGAATGTCCTGCATTTAAACAATCGCCATTTTCACATAGATTGCCGAAAATAAATCTTTCACGAATTTAATTTAACAAATAAAAAAGTAAAAACAAGAACAGCACTCAGCGATGTACTAGTTACATTAAGTGTTTTGAAGAACTTGAAAAATCAATAAATCGAATAATTGTATTCAAAATGGCAATGACTCAACTTTGATCAATGTGTAAAACAAGTATGATGATTTGGAGTACATTAAGGCCAAATGTGCTTTTCAAATATAGAGTTGGTAGGTAGGGATTTTGTTTTTCTAATTTTTGTTCATAGTTATTTATATTACCCAATTTTGTGATGTTTGCTCAAATATGACGGAAAAAAAAAATTATAGAATCTTATGCTCATGTTCTAAACAAACTGCGTTTGACAAAAGATGATGAACGGTGTTGCATGGAACCACATACACATGTAATTTAATGTGTGGAGCACTTTCCCCATTTCCTTTGTAGACAAACATAAGCCCTGTTCTGCATTGATTTAAAGCCATTAGTGAAAATTTCTGCTTAGCGTTACATACTTGACCTGATGTGTGGTACTTGTGTAATGAAGTCATTTGATTCAACTACACATAGTTCTATAAACAAACGTCAAAGTGTGAAAACCTTGTTATTACATTATCAACTCAAAATTTAAAAATGTGTGAAGTAGAGTTATTGTACTTACATCCTCACAAGACTCAGATACTCCCACATCTTCTCCAACAAATCATCAAAATTCCATTTATGATGAGCTGAGATGGGAACGCAGTGGGGAATCTTATAAATAACGTCCAGTTCCTGAATTATGAAATATACAAAACAATTGTGATATCAACATACTGGCACTACTGTAGAATACTTTATTTTCGCTATTTCTGCTGAAGGGATGATTCCGTGAAAATAAAATCCAGCGAATATACTTTTTTTTCTATATTTCACATTAAACTCATCAAAAATCAGTGAAAATAAATTCCATACAAAATGCCCAAAAATCCTTTTCAGTGAAAATTAATTCCAGCAAAAATAAAGTATTCCACAGTATTCAGTTTTTAGAACCAAATGTTGCAGGTTTAATCAATTCAACTATGCTATGCAACGGACCATACTCGGACCATATATTTTTTGATGTTGCACACGCGGCCAAAAAATGTTAATTTGGAATGTGAAATATTAAACTAAGATACTTACCACGATAGATATCTGATCAATCTTATTCAGGACAAAGATGCATGGTATGTAAGCTCTATTACCTTCTATGACATCTATTAAATCATCCGCCGAGGAATCTGATCTCAGTGTAATATCAGCATTGTGTATCTTGTATTCAGACAATATAGTCTTCACTGTATCAAGGTCAAGTTGACTTTGAGCACATGTTGCAGTTAAATTTACGCCACCCTTTTCTTTTTTACGAAATGATATATTTGGAGGTTTTTTGTTCAACCTGTGAAGAGCAAGTCATTGATGCATTTTTCAAAGTAATCTCTTATGAGCTAAATATTAGACATCCCAATGGAATGCATTATGTGTGAAAGGAAACAATTGCATGCAATGACTCTTTTAAAAGTGTGAGTTGAAGTTGGTGTGGTTAGTAAGATGGTAGAATACATCAGTAGAGTTGTTTCAATTTTTGCTGGTGATATGATGTGGTAGATACAATACATTCATGTCTTCATAATAAATAACAAGCCATGCATGGCATAGTCCCTGTTTGTTATCAAATTTAAGATATATAGTTTTGTTTATAGTAATATAGCTGGAATATAAACATGTCAGGAATATGATGATTGTTTAACATTTAAATGATTGTCATTTGTATCTGATCGTCAAATGAGTATTGAGAGATATTGCTCTGGAACAGCAATAATTCAAAACAAAATCAGCCATTTTGAATACATGTATAATGAATATATAAAATTTGAACATAGTCAGTCAAAGCATGTAAGAGATATGGCTCTAGAAGCCCATTCATTAAAACAAAATGGCTACTAGTCAGCCATTCTGAATCTGATCTAAAAAATAAAATAATGTGCATCAGGAACCCGTAATGTCCAATGTATGTGCATCAAGGTCCTATAATGTCCAACATATATACCAAGTTTGAACAAAATCCATCTTTAAACAGCCGAGGAATCCATGATTTTGATGACTTTTAGAACAAAAATGGCCATCTTGAAACAGATCGTGAAACAAATTGATGTGCATATGTATAATATCATGTATGATGTATGTGTGAAGTTTGATTGTGATTGGTCCACGCATGCATGGACGCACGGATGGAAGCACGGACACATGGAGGTCAAAACGGGGACTGTGTCCGAACGGGGACTAATAAATGTCAGGCACAAGATACAGACTGAAGCCACTTTACTTGTGTGATTATTTCCTTTACCTAACAGTCATTAAGTATTTCTGCCATTCAGCCATCAATCAAATTGCGAAACAAATGCAAGTTCAAATGTCTGATGCAATCATTACAGGATCACATTGACCTTCGTTACATGCTGCTTGATATGATCACTGTACTTCCTGTGTGTATACTTTGTGATATTTCCATAGCAACATCACAATACACATTCAATTTAAAATTATTAAAGTGTGCACAAAGAAAGCTGGTTTTAATTTTCAAAGATATACAAATGACAGCATTCGCTACCTTGATATTAATCTATAATGAATGTTCACCAAATAAATACACTATTTGTCTTAATCTTACCTTATACCAAAACCTTCTAATTCTCTTTCAATGATCTTTTTATGGTGGAGGGGCTTCAGCACATCGAGTACAATTAAAATCAAACTACATGTCCTTGCAACTGTGAGGGAAGAGATAAGTTAATATGAAACCATGTGAGGTACTACATATATGACTGTGAGCACTGGCTGTGGGCAATGTATATATTTAAAACTGTGTATAGCATGTACTGCACATGATGTAGATATAAACCAACGAATAAACAATAGAACCATAGAATACGCACATTCACAATTACTGTGAGTGTCGCTTTAACACGAGGTGCAGACTCATGCAATTCAAAAATCTATAAAACTGTAAAAGGGTTAATTATTCAGGGGGTTTTAATTTTGCTTATTTTGCTGACAGGAAAATGCGCTAAATTAAAACCAAGTGAAATGTGTAAAATTAAGAATGGAACACATTATCTAAATGATAAAACCATGAATTTAAAACTCACTGAATATGCCAATGAAAATTAGTCATTTTACAGTAATAATAAAATATACAACTGGACTCCAAATCTACTGATTCAATGAAAACAAAGTCACTTTGGCAGTGACAACAACAGTGCAGAATGTTCATTTAATTACATTTACATAATAATAGTGAGACACTGACCTGCAATAACTTGTCTGCCTCTACCTTTGCCATCTTTAGCTCCTTCTATAATACCTGGCAGATCTAATAACTAAATATTAAAGATAGAAACTGCATGAAGCAATAACATGGCATGTTACAATGAGGTTTGTAATTATTATTATTAATCGCATTTGGGTTTTTTTAGTTGCTAATACATGTACCGGTATCTTATTAAGTAAATGACAAGGATGCGTTTATGGTCAAATTTTTACTACTACTGCACGTAGCATTCAAACTTTAATGCAGCTGTCCAACTAGGGTCCATTCCTTTGACTGTGGTGCCAACAAGGTTGTGTACAAACAAACCAGTACATAGATAATATGTAATTATACACCAGACAGTGAACTTAATGATATGAACTATATACAATATTTTATTCAAAGAACAGTCAGCTCCCTTGGCAGGGTAAAACAGCGAAATTAGCAAATCTGTTCTATTGAGAGAGGTGTTTACCATGGGTGGTAATTTTGACTATAAAGCTTAACACAGGAACGTGTTTAGAATATTCCATTGGACTTGTGTGCACTGTTTGTATTGGGGGAAACATTTTGTAGAAATTTCAAAATAGCATTGGAATAGCAAAAATACAGACAGGGAACCTTTGTCGTTCTTGTATGTACCTATATAATGCAACACTGAGTTTGGCCAAGATGAATGCAATTAATTCTTCAAATCACCTTGTGGGTACATTATTCTATTTGAATGTCAACTCGTGACACTTTCCACAAAATGAACCTTCCTTATTTTTTTTAACATTTCTGATTGGAAATTATGTATACTTGTCCAAAATTAATGAAGAAAATATCAAAAATAGGTAAAAATTTCCAATATTTAAAAGGTTAACAAGTACCGTGGACGAGGACAGTTTATATTGTTTTATTACAGTGATGTTACCTTATTAAAATGAAGTACTGTACCTGTATTTTAGCACCTTTGTACCTGATGACACCAGGAACTGTGGTTAATGTTGTAAATTCATACGCTGCAACCTCGGAGTATACACCAGCAAGATTACTCAGTAATGTAGACTTGCCAACAGATGGAAAACCTGTAAGCATACAGACACAGGTACACTACATTTCAGTTACTGTGGAATACTTTATTTTCGCTGGAATTAATTTTCACTGAAAGGGCTTTTTGAGTGTTTTGTATGGAATTTATTTTCACTGATTTTTGATAAGTTTAATGTGAAATATAGGGAAAAAAAGTATATTCGCTGGATTTTATTTTCATGGAATCATCCCTTCAGCGAAAATAGCGAAAATAAAGTATTCTAGAGTATTCAGATCCCAAACAATACAAATATTGCACCCCTCCTCTAGATGACATGTTAATTAGACTGTACATTGTATTTGTTTTATTAGCAGCACACATAAACCCAAAAAGCATTTATTGCATACTAGTGGATCACTAATAGAGCAAATATGATAATGTCATTGTTTATAACACTGCCATCTGTTACTGTAATAATCATTTTAATGATGCATTTATGAAAGCAAACGCATTTCTAGTAAATATATATTATATTACCGTACCGAGTATAAGCCCAGGGGCCTGAACATGTAAAATCGGAAAAAACAATTCATTGTCAATGACACGTCCCCGTTCCGTTCATATTTGAGTGACATATACATTCAAAGCAGATCATGACCGAAATGCACCTGCATATGTATAACACATTGTACTACATCTGAACAAAATCCATCCATGCATGACTGAGATCCGGTTCCAAAATTGTGAAAATACGTGATTTTGATGCATTTTCGGCCTTAAAATGGCCATCATTCAGCTATTGTTAAGCGGATCATGAAACAAATGTACATATCTATTTGTGACATGATGTACCATGTGTGTGTGAAGTTTGAACTTGATCAATCCAGACATGTCTCGGATACGGATCCAGAACTGAATTCTTTAAAACAAAATGGTCGCCAGTCGCCCATTTCGAACTTGATCCGAAAAAAAAAAATGACGTGCATCAAGGTCCTATTATGTTTAATGTATGTACCAAATTTGAACGAAATACGTCCATGCATAACTGAGGTCCGGGTCCGGAATGGTGAAAATGTGCGATTTCAATGCATTTTCGGCCTTAAAGCGGCCGCCATTTGCTATCGTT